TGGTGCTGGTCCTTGGGTTCTTCTGGGCCTCCACCATTGTTCCAGTGCAGGGCTCACGTCTGTCCTCCTGCAGTCCTTTGACATGTTCCTCAGTGAGGAACTCCTTGGACTTCTTCATGAAGCTTCATCTGTGAACGCTGGACCTGGAAAACTCTTGATGTGACTTCATCGGCTTTAAACATCTCATGAGCAGCTGCAGGGTGCAGCTCTCTCTCAGGGATGGACCCCAACAGCAGCTACCTGAGCTCTGAGCTGTCACCACGACTTGGAGCTGACTAGGAACCGACTAGAGGACTGACTAGTGACTGACTGGTAACTAACTAGTAAGTGACTAGAGAACCACTACACCAGCTGTTGTACCTACAGTGGATCAGAACCTGGTAGAACGTGGTTCCACCCTTAGACTCTATCAGGATGTGTCTCGTGCAGTCTGTGGGTGGAACCAGCAGGAACATCTGGAATCAGACAGAAGCTGCATTTTATCAATAATCTGAAACAATTTAAAGCAGAAAATATTTGGATGTAAAAACAACCACAGAAGCGTCAAAGTCCATCCTGAACGTCTCCAACATCCCAGTGACACGCTTCCTGGTATCTCCAGTCAGTAGAACCTGTCTGTCCGTAAATACGACCCAAATCAGACACTAGAGCAAAAAACGAGTCATTTAGCGATCCTTATGTCCAGCTGACCTGTTGACCTGCAGAAATGTGTGTTTTGGAACAAGGTACTCTTTTATTGCACATCTGTGACGTGGCCCTGGTATGAATAATTGTGGACAGTTTCAGTAAAATGTTGTTTGTAATCACAGGAAGCGTTCGTGTCTGTGACGGGCTCCGTGTGTGTTCGTCTCATTTCCAGGCAGAAGAAGCTCTAAATGTAAACGCGCCGCTCTGTGAACACTCTGCAGCCCTTCGTGTCCGTGTGTCCGTGGGTTCCGTCCTGCAGCGCCCTCTGCTGGCTCCAAGGCTGCACTCACTGAAGGCGGCTCGTCTTTGCGCAGCTCCACCGACAGAACGGCAGCAGCGCCGCGGTGCATTGTGGGAGCCAGAGTCACTGCAGCGGTCACAGCGTGCCGGAGCGTCACGGACACGTTTCATGTTTGATGTGTTCAGCTGATGCTTCTGTCCAGAATCAACAGAACCAACAGAATTAAAGCAAGAACCAGCAGCTGCTGGACGGTTCAGGAGGAAACAGGTAACAGCTGACCGACGTACTGAGCTGATGCTAATGCTAATGCTAAGGGTCACTGTGAGCAGGAAGCTAACGGAGCTAGCAGCCGATACTTCCTCCACAGTGACCAGTTTCACCAGTAAGCAGTCTAACCAGTGTACCCAGTGACCGGTGTGTCTGTGTGCTGCTGCTGCAGGAACATGTCGGTTCTGGCGGTTCTGCTCAGAGCTGGATCCACCTTCTGTCGGTCTGCTGGGAACCTGCTGCTCCCAGTCAGAGGCGTCTCCACCAGTAAGTCCTGGTTCTGGTTCCGGACCAACCAGTCGGTTCTGACACTGTGATGATGAGTTTCCAACACATTACTTGAATAACTGTGAATGACTTATTTTCTAGAACGTTTTTTTTAAGGGAGTGAAAATTAGAAATAATATCGAACAAGCTGCAGAACGCTTCTCTGGAACCTTCATGTGGTCTGAAGACCTCCAGGTGGGCTTTTCTCTGTGGACTCCTTCAGACCTGTGAAGGATCAAACTACCAGACAGGAGCTGATCAGACATCATCAGCTGCTTTCCTTCCTTCATGTTGCTGCTCATGTGGAGCTGCAGCTCAGCACCGTCAGATAAACTCCTGGACCTGGATCCAGAGTGGAGGAGGTTCTGGTAGATAAAATCAGAATGAAGCTGCAGCTCAGCACCGTCAGATAAACTCCAGGGTCCTCGTTTATCATCAGTGTGTAGAAAAGCTTCTAAATGAATGAAATGTAGAGTGTGTAAGTACAAAAACATCTGTATTTATCAAACGTGCGTACGGGGGTCATAGCACATCAGTGCTGATAAATCCTACTGGTTCTGAACCTCCACGTTGCCTTCAGGAACGCCTCCACCTGGATGTAGGCTGGGACCAGGGGAGGTATGGCA